GAGCACGGCCGTGGGATCCAGCGCCTCGGCTGCCGTGGGCAGCTCTCTCAGCGCTGCCAGTGTGCCCATCGCTTCGGGGGGCTCCCTGGGGCTGGGGGGCTATGGCTGGGCCGGGCCGGGCCGTGGGCTCTACGGGTCTCTGGGACGCGGCAATCTCTTATGCTGAAGCCCGTGGATTGCCTGCCCGTGCTTGAGTGCCAGCAGCCTTGAGGAAAGCCCTGGATACAGCCTAGAGGCCTCTTTTTCCCCTTTTGGTCTCCTTTACTTCATGGTCCCCATGAAATACCTACATGTCCTTCTTCCTTCCATGTCAACATGTGCAGGTGATACCTGATCACCAGAGCCTTGATTTAGAGCAGAAAAAGTAGCTTCCCTGTTGTGGAGGGTTTTTTTATTAAGATGGCAGCAGTTCTCTGAGGTTTACTCAGACTCCAAAATGCATTTCTTAAAGTCTCGCCTATTCCATTTTCCTCTGGTTTTCTCAATAAAGACATTGGGCATCTTCTTTGCAAGAGAGTCATCTTTCTTCTTCTCCTCTTCTCCAGTCCTAACCAGCAGACATCCAGAAGTGTTTCTCCCTTAGTAAACCTACAGATTTCTCTATAGTTACCGGGCTCAGGAGAGCCTTGTCTTTTGTCCCTGACATCCCATAGGAATGACTGGGCTCAGGAGAGCCTTGTCTTTCGTCCCTGACATCCCATAGGAATGGAGATTACCTTTGCATAAGTGCAAGGAGTTGGATGGCTGCATGCTTTCCCAAGTGTACAACCTCTTTATTTTCTCTGGATTTGACAAGCCAAGTTTTAAACAGATGAGCTTTAACTGCTCCCATTAGACACTGACCTCACACTGTGCCTCCTTGCTGGAATACTAGTGCATGGAAGGAAAGAGAGATACTCAACACACACACATATTTACATGCACAAACACGTACATGCACACAGAGTTGAATCAGGGAAATTTCTGCATGTGATAGAACTGTTCTGTATGACAAAAAACTTTTTTTTCTTTTCACAGCAAAGATAAATTGAATAGAAATTACAAGGTTGACATACCTGTGAAGAAGCCAGGGAAACTTCTGGCAGAGCACAGCCAGTGCTCTGCACTGCTCATTATGCTAGGTGCCCTAACGCAGCTGAAGTAGAAAATCAGACCATAAATCCAAAGTCCTGGGGAGTGCAGTATTCCTGATTTGGGCTTTTTTGTTCTTCTTTTACAGGCATGAAAAGTGCAATTTGGGCTTTTTTGTTCTTCTTTTAAAGATTTCAAATTGCTCCAATTGATTTGACAAGGAGATGGCTGAGGAAAAGCATGCATAGACTTGTGATCCACTTTTGTTCCTTGGAACTGCTCCTCTTGCAGCCTCCTGGTGCGAAGTGTCAGAGCCCAGGGGAAGGTGTCTGGGAACTCAGGCCCTCATTGGCTGTCTCCTGCCCCCATGGTTTTCTGGGCATGTGCTTAGAGGTAGCAGTCCAAGCCTACTGAGTCAGGTAGAGAGTTTCCTTGCTTCCCAGGATCTTCCTTTTTCTTTGGTTACCTATAACAGCAATTTTTGCAATGATAACACGGCTATGCCTGATTTAGTTTTGTTTTGTTGATGTTTTGTGCAGTATAGACATGCTTTTGTGTAGCTGCCAGTAACAAGTAATTACTCTGCACAGAATTAAATACTCATGCCTCCAACACCATGATGCAGTGTAGAGATATGAATGAATAAGGTACAGAATATATACATGAATTATATACTATGTGCAGAATATATAAAGGCTGATAGAAAGCTTGTGGAGCATATGCCTGTACTCTGCTCTAGCTTCTGGCTGGGAATACATGCCCCAAAGCTGGTAAGTATCATGAAGAGTATATATATGGGATCAGAAAAGGGGCACTAACTTCCAAGGCCATTTATAGAGAATAAACCTCATGTGTACTGGTTTCTAGACTTGAATTAATGTGGAGCTGAATTAAGCAGTCCTTGTAGGTTTTTTTATCAGGATGCTTACCTTTCAGAACATGTAGTAGGAACAGTACCTACCTACTGTCACACACCACTGCTGGGCATGTGTGGGAAGAGAACATCAAATAAATAATCCCATGGACAGAGGAGTTGGACCTTGAGCAGGTAGTGTGTTTGACTTGAACTAGATGTTCTTCTGTTGCCACTGTGTTTCTGATTCAAAAGTTTCTGGTTCTTGCATTGTGATCACAGTACTTTCCAAAGAGTAATTTTATAGTCTGTATAAACATAGGAATTATAGCAAATGCCAAACATATCTTTATGCAGAAACTATACTATCAGTGTGCTCAGTGATGTCAAAGCTATCAAAAGAAAATACAAGGAAAATAAATAAAACAAGGTTTGAAAGAAACAGAAAGAGCGCTTCTGAAGAATTTGAAATGTAAGTAATGTAAATGTATGTAAGTGCACACTCATGCTCTCAGACAGCCTTCTAAATCAAGCACCTCAGGGAACTAAGCCCTAGATTTCCATCAAGTTTCAGGTTTGGACACATGCTGTTTAGTCTGGTGTCATTTGGGACAGTTTCTGGAGCTCAGGAAAAAGGGGTTGGAAATGTTCAGACTTTCAGAGCTGGCTGAGGGAGAGCAAAATCCTAACTTTTGTTCAAGTTTCCCTGTAGATGACTTACCCTTTTATGGGATCTACCTTCTGAAGCATAACTATTCTTGTGTCTCTGGTGTTTCCAACAGTGATCTGCAGGTGGCAGTGCAGAACACATTTCTCTGATACCCCACCCACTGAGAGATTTAATGCGTTTGGAAAGATTTGGGTGTTTGGTTATTGTTGTCACTGTATGCCTCTGTTTTTTCCAGATGACTCAGGTAGTCTTCCTTTACAATTGTTCATTATTATTAATAAACATTTAGCATTTTATCAGAACAATATTGCATCTTGTTGCTTGTCTAGTTCTTCCAACTGATTTTCTCTTATTCTTGCTGTTACATTCCTTGTACCATTGCTCTGGTTCATTTCAAAATAAAGCAAACAAATAACTTCAAACTCCTGTAAATCCTCACTCTAGTGTGAACTTTGGGGTTGTTTATTTTCTCTTGTTGTTGTTTTTCTTCTTCTTTCTAGAACCTTGAATAAATTAAATTAACAACTCATCCTATTCCATAAAAGGAACAAACCAGCTTATTTACTGTTTATTCGAAGCTGATGCTTCAAAAGGAAATGAAGATAGATGAGGCTTTAGAGGTGATGGAAAAGCAGACTTCCTCTCTGCTTCTGCAGGTGACTTCTCAGCTCATTTGACTTAATGTTTTTACATTCTCCTGTGGAAACTGATATAAATTTCAGGACGCCATGACCGTTTTGCATTGGAAAACAGGTATTTATTCATATCCATCATTTACTATGGAGTATAGAATTGTACCCAGTGTTTCAAACATTGGTACGTTACACAATTCTGTGGTTTGGAAATCTTAAATAGTTCTTTGACAGGCAACTTCAACTTTCACAGGCAGGAATACATATCTTGATTTCTTGATTGCCAATGTCATTAGCTTCTAGAGCGAGTTAGGTTTATAACTATGTCTAAAAGTCACCTCCTACAGCCTCTTGAATAACCTTCTATCTTTTCCCACTCATTGAAAGCTAACACTGTCCTGATAACTGCAGACCTAACCATGAAGTCTTTGTTCCTTGGTAGAACTCTCCAGTATCAATGACTCTCTATCATTTGTAGACATCATTCTCTCATTGGAAATGAAAATTATAACATAGAATTTACGTAACTAATTATACAGCATGAACAGAAGTACTAAATCTGGTTGTCAAAACTTGCAGTTTTAAGACTGTAATACAATTTTTTGAAATAGCAAAGCAGGATTGACTTATGGTAAAACATTCTTTTCCCTAGAATCTCAAAAGGTAACCCGTAACTGTGATTATCAGGTTAACAATAAAGTCTCTCTGCAGGAAATGTAACAGTTAGATCTCTTGCCTAAAGTTGATATGGTCCTGAAATTCCTGGGAAAGAGGCACATCAGCTTTGCAGATGCCCAAAGTGGAAAGCAGCCGGTGGCAGCTAGAAGTGCAATACACCAGCCTGGTCTGTGTTCCAGCTTGCTCAAAGGCCTTTTCCTGACACATGCATACATTATTCATGTTGCTGAACAGTGATTATTTCAACTTCTTTATGGTAACTTTTTTGAAGACCTATTGTTACTGTTGAGTTTGTACAAATGTTTATGTGTAAAGTTATTTTACGGCTAATGATAAGAAATCGAGACAGTCCTATGACCAACTGCAGCTGGAGGCAAGATGGAAAGATAGATGTTTCTTTGTACAGTTGAATTGATACTGTACTGAGAGCTTTTACATGTCTGGCTGGCCTGTTGGACTAGATAGGTCAGGCATGCAAATCACACTGTAGATGCTATATTTACTTTTAAAGTTACCTCTGTCACATGGCTTTACACAGCCATTCTCATTCAGGGCAAGCAGACTCAACAAATGCAATGCTCTATGAATTTGCTAAAGGACCTTAATTAAACCTGTAATACAGAAATTTAGGAAAACACAAAAGAATGCTTTATCTCTACCTGGAGTCTTCATAGCCATAGTAAGTGATTCTGTTTTCTTTATCTTTTAGAACAGAAAACTCTTCTATTATGTGTAATTAGAATTAAAATATTCTGTCTAGTGTTACATTTTAGCCTATGTTTTGCTTCAAGGCAATAATTGTGCTGAAGTTTTATTATGTTTTTTTTGCCAACATAGAGTAATTCTAAATAAAAAGAATCCAGTTTTGGTCAGACCATGCAATGAATAGGAAAACAAACCAAACAGATAATATTACCCTGTTTATTTAATAATAGTAAGCCATTGGTTGGAAAACAAGCTTCAAGCCTTTGTCATGATGATTACTGAATTTTCTAGAGGTGAAAACATTGCTTATTTAGAGAAGAATAATTTGAAAAATAATGAATGCATATTATGGTTACCTTTACTCTCATATGGTCTTCTGTTTTCTGCAGAAATGGGTATTTTTGCTGTACTTGCTCTACCACTACTTCTTTTCGGGATCAGTGGAATTATTTATATTTACCAGTCAGTCAGGTGGCTATTGTCCAAGTCAGCTGTGCAAAACAAGGTGGTGGTGATCACAGATGCCATCTCTGGACTGGGCAAGGGTGAGTTGTCTCATTTCTTTGCAGTGTTAGAGAACGGAAACAGCCAGAGAACCACCCTCTAGGTGATAAAATGTGCATTCAGTACCTTTTATAAATTCATAACTGCCTGGATGAAACAAAAGTTAAGAAATATATTTCCAAACAAATCCTGTGTTATTTAAATGTACTTTTTTAGTCTCAGCCACAGGAAATGCTGGTGAACTTTTAGGAACTGCAGAGATGTCTGTTTATTTAATTCAATATAATGAGAGGTTTTATAAGCACATGATGAGTGTTATTTTTAGCATGTTGCTACTATGAGATCTTATTACATGGACTGTCACTGCAGAGTAGCTGCAAATCAGCATAAACAGGTTCCACCTTACTTTTTACATGTTCCTTTTCAGCCCTTTAAAGACTGCAATATTTCCTGCTCCCTCTAAATGACAGTGCTCACACCTTTTGAGGGACACCTTATGTCCCTGTGCATATGTTTGCCCCTCTATCACAGCATTACACCTCTTCCCTCCAACTGGGTTGCCTGCCTATATGTAATGGTGGGTTCAGTGGATGGAAGGAGAGGGTATGTGATAGTTTAGCTATTTATATAAGCTGATTGCCTGGCTGGCCAGCCACTTAACATATGCTTCTTCTTGGTTCATATTGCCTGCTTATAAAGTGCTTCCAGATTAAAGGTACTGCTTATTTACAGTCCTGCACTGGGCATCACTTGAGGGGCAGTAGATGCAAAGACAAATGTAGTTTGAGGCTACATCTTGGCATTTTCAATAAAGACTATGTTGGAAATCTTGCACTCCCAAGCAGAAAATAGATGGCAAAAGGGAATGCTCTTGCAGAATTATTCCTTAGCAGAAGAGAACAGAGACCTGCAACAGAAATATAAACTATGGTGGCAAGGAGTGCTCTTTATCAGAGCCTGTTAGGACAAGGTATGAACTAATTCTGATCTCCCTGTACCACCTGGGCGTGCCCTTTCTGGGACACTCTTCAGTTTCAGTTGAAGATAATATTGGCATGCATTTTCTCTGATTGGTTATAGTTCAGTATTTTGTTTGGAGAGGCATGATTTAGAGTTATCTATCTGAGATCGGATCTAGAATCATATCATGCCTGGAGGTTTTTAGACAAAAGTCCTATTTGGAGCAGGAATATCACCAGTGCTAGACCTGGTTGTGTGTGGCTTCAAGCCTTGGAAACCCCCAAAGATAAGGAACATTTATTGAACATTTCTCCAGCACTGCATGAGTCCTGGGAAGATTTTCCTAAGTTCAATTTCTTTATTAACCTTTCTTCATCTTTTTGTTTGTTGATTGGTTTTGTGACTAGCTGCTGCCTGTGTCTTGAGGCTACAAAGGCAATCACATCCCCCTGCCCCATCCCCTTTTTCACACAGATGAAAAAGGAGGTAACTCAAAGTAATTTTGTTTTATTATCCAAAACATATCTACTGCTGGTATCCCGGTATTAGAAATTATTTGCAGGCTTGAACGATTCCAAATCATGCAGAATTTACTGTGCAGTCCACTCATGCATATGTGATGGCCATTCCTCTAGAGCTTTAAAATACCAGCTGTCTGGCCAGCTGCTGCATAGTTGAGCTCTTAGGTAACAGCCAAATTCCTTTACTCACATGCAAGAATTTCCAGACTAAAGACAACATTCATCAAAGTTAAAAAAGAGAAACAAAACCTATGTTGATTAAAGATGTTTGCAATGGTTTGTGGTTGTTATTGAAACCTGATTCCTTTTTCATCTCAGTGCTATAACTCAAAAAAGTCTGGGATGCTTCTAGAAGAGAACATCATTAGTTTCCTTTTTTCCCTTTTATTGCTGTTCCCACAGTAGTGACTTTTTATTCATTAGGTTGCCCCAACTGTTAATGTTTATAGGAAAAATACTGTGTAGTTGTCCTTGTAGTGACAAATAATCTTTTGGGCTTTAAATCAAATATCTTTCTATGTTAGCAAAAAGAAAATGAAAATAGAAGTACTGTTGTAAATAATGAAAAAGATTACGTAAATAAAAGTCTCCAGCTGCACAGGTTTCCAAAAATAAGAGTGGATCCAGAAGTGCTTCCATACTGATATAAAAAGTCTGACATGAGCATTTAAGAAATCCAAGATGGGCATATTAGCATAACTGGCTTTTCCTGTGGGTATTGAAATCTGAAGAAAACACTTCTTGGAGGACAGACAGCTATAGGTGTACCAGGGTTGTACTGTCGCCCATTCAGCAAAAGCCATAGGAGCCAAGACAATTCAAACAGGCTGGAAAGGCATAAGAGTAATTGTAAGACCATATCCGTGTTCTTCCCATGCTGAATATGTAACTGTCAAACAGATTTGATTTATGGGCCAAATACGAGGACCCCAAGGCAGAGAGTTTTTTGGAAGACCTAATGAGGAAAAAAAAACCACAAGAAGAAAAAGAACTCTTGATTTCCACTCCTTCCAGCACAAATAACCCACTGTCAACTAATTGTCTGGTTGCACATCAAATCAGATATGTGGCACAGTGGGCAAATTATCAGTTGTATTCTCAGGCCTATCTGCAAGACATTGTCTATTTCAAGAAAGAAAAGGCAGGCAATTGTGTACTTTTCTTGTACACAGGAGGACAGACAACCTTGACCTTTCCTGGACTGAGAGACATAGTTTTGGTTCAACTGAGCTAGAACATGGACTCTGTAGCCGCCTGTAACAGCCAGAGGGATACAACTGAGAATAAATTCCCAAAAGATGGCCATGAGATGACCATTCTCTTTTTTTAGTCAAACTGACAAGACAGCGGGGAATGTGCTCTCCCTCAACACCACCTAGAGAAGAAAATAGACCAGACACATGCTGTCAAGATGCTCCAGCCTGGTATTTCATAATCTGGATTTTGTTGATCACATACTCCCATAATGACCTAAACTAATGAGTTAGCTGCAGTCTTCTAGACAGTCCTGGGATGGGATGGTGGGTAACACTGATTGCCAGTTCCTCTTGTTATGTGAGTCCCCAGTTTCAGAAAAGCATGATCTTAGTTCACTTGCATAAGAATGGGAGAAGAATCCTCCCCAGAGACCTAGTTTAAACTGGGGTGAACCCCTAGCCCAGAATGCCCCTGGCTATATGGAGAAAAAACAGTGCCAACCCAGCATATCCAGAAACCTCTCGGTGGCCTTCTCAAGGAGGCTTCAGGAAATGCAGCTGAACAAGAGGTAGCTCAAGCTGGATGTCTCTGCTGACTACTGGGAAGGTCTAAAATTCAGGAGACAAAGGTCTTGGGATGGATTACAAATGAAAGGAAGATACTCTAGAAGAAATGCCTCTCTCATTGGTGCTCCATCTGTGGGCCAGTGGGTGGGTTTTCTGTATTGCTTTCTCAGAGTTGTAGATGAGTTTCATGAAGGTAGCATACAAAGCTAGTTTTATTACTTACTGGGGTTGGTTGATTTCTTCTTTATACTGCAGTAGACATGAAGGTTTACAAAACCTTGTAGTTTGTATTGTAGCAACCTTAGTCATGTATTTTTGTGTAAGTTTTTCTTTATAGCAAGTGTGTCAGTAGATGGAGAGACTTAAGGAAGAAAGATAATCAGGATGATTTTTCTTACTCAAAACCATCATCCATTAACTGGCATATTGTTCTTTTATTAATTATATTTTTATTAAATCCCATGACTAAGCAGTACCATTGTGCTGTACCATTAATTGTGCATTATACCATTACAGTAAATGTTAACTTATTACTCGCATATTATTGCCATTTAATGCTTTCTTTTTTCTTATATATATTTATTCATTCAAAATTGATGCATTTTAAAGCATAGATTTAACGTTATTAGCAAAACCAGCATCCCATTTCACGCAAAATAAACAAAATCAAATTGTTGTGAATGTTATTGTTTCTTCTGAACATATTTCTCTCCTAGAATGTTCTCGGGTGTTTCACACAGGAGGAGCAAGGCTTGTGTTGTGTGGCAGGACATGGGAAAAGTTAGAAGCCTTGTATGATGCTTTAATTAATGTGGCAGACCCCAGTGTGGTAAGTATTTCCTAACTGCTTTGAAAATTCTGGTTCAGGTACACAAAGTGCTTTTAAATCCAGTAAAACAAGGTACATGAAACATGATTCACTGTTAATGGTGATTTTGGTCACCCAGGTAACACGTCCAACACAGTCCAGAGAGAGAGAGAGAAACCTCTGAAGGCTTTCAGAGCATGATGCCAAAAGTATAACTTTGAATTCCTGGTTTCTTGAGCTAATTCAAGGCAATTATTTTAAAGCAACTGAGTGGTCCTGCATTTTGAACAACCCATCCAAGGAGAAATGCTAGGCAGAGGAATTTGCCTGTTAATTTGGATGAAAGGGATCCAAAGGGTTTCATTTAATCACAGGAACTATCATCCATTTTTCACATAATTAGAGTGTTCAAAGAGTAGGAGATGGGTCTAAAGACTGAGTTAATTTTGAGTTTCTCCACTTCGGGAGAAGTCCCAGCTAGAACAACATGGGAGCATATGAATGAATGTCGTTTCCTCATTACCTCTGTCTGGGTCACCACACAAGTACACATGCAAAGTTCTCCCTGTTGCCAGATCTTTGGAAGGTGTTTCTTTGATGCTCATGGAAAAGCTTTCCTTCTGTGACTAACAGCTTTCAGGGCACAGGTGTTCCTGAAGGCATCACACTAATTCTACAGCCAGATGAACAAATAATTTGCTTTTGACCTTTTGGGTGTCGGTGTTTTTTTTTTTTTTTTTTTAAAAAACAAATCAAAGGTTTTGTGAGAATGATAAGACCCCTTTCTCTAGATAGCAAGGTAAATGAATTTGCAAGACAAGCAAGTAGAAATACATTTTTATGTAAGAGGTATTCTTTAAATAAGTCCTTTCTTTATTAGACATATGCACCAAAGCTCATACTTCTGGATATAACAGATATAAACTGCATTCGCGATGTAGCTAAAGAAATCCTGAATTGCTATGGCTGTGTGGATATACTGATCAACAATGCAAGTATGAAGGTGAAAGGAGCAGTGCAGAGCATTTCATTGGAACTCGACAAAAAGATAATGGATGCCAACTATTTTGGACCTATAACATTAACCAAAGGTATTTTAGTTTTTCTTCCTGTTTTGCTGTTGTCATTTAAAGCTTGAGATACAATTGTTTTCAAAGCCCTTGCAAGGCCAGAGACAGAATGACAACTGAATCTGATAATATTAGACCCAAATCTGCATGCACAATCCAAGTGAAGTCTAGAAGAAACTCAATTTCCAGCTACTGGATTTTGTGATATTTTTAATTGTGGTGTTGAGACAAACTTCATTAAAGCTGCTCTGCCTACACTTCAGACGTCAGTTTGTCCTGGGTTCAGCTATGTGCCATGTTATGGAATACCCCTTTGGCCAGTTGGGGTCAGGTGTCCTGTCTCTACTTCCTCCCAGCTTCCCCTCCTCCCTGGCAGAGCACGAGGCTGAGAAAGTCCTTGGTCAGAGTAAACATTACTTAGCAACAACTAAAAACATCGGTGTTATCAGCATTGTTCCCAGGCTGAAAGTCAAAAACGCAGCACTGCACCAGCTACTGAGAAGGAGAAAAAATGACTGCTGTAGCTGAACCCAGGACACATTTTTTTCACTAATTACATTGACGTCTTTTACTTACATAGCTATTTCTTTTATTAATTTTCTTCTTTTTTTCAGCTATTCTTCCCAACATGATCTCAAGAAGAACTGGACAAATAGTTCTAATTAATAGTATCCAAGGAAAAATAGGAATACCGTTTCGTGCAGCTTGTAAGTTATACGTAGCAAAAATGTACATCCTAATGCATAAATTGTGAGTATTCCATGGCACTGATAATAGGTTATTAAAAGTTCTAACTTGTATTCTAATTCAGTAAACTATTAATAAAATTTTGGCTGAAAAAAATTCAAAGAAGTGGAACTGAAGAAGAAATAGTGAAATGCTATCTTTGAAGTATAACTACTGTCTAAGGTACTTGAGGACAAAAGAATAACAAATGTGACAGCAAGGGTTTTTTTATGATCTTAGGAGACATTCAAGAAATATCAAAATTGAAGGTCTAACATCTGTACTGGGCATATTAGTAGAAACCATAATGAAGAAGGAAGTAGTATATAAATATAATAAATACACTGGTAGATACTAGCTACTGCTTTGTAAAGGGAGTCTCATGCACTTAATAGATTTATGTGTGGGAGTTCCAAAGGAGATATAGTAATTGTATTGTGCTTGGCTTTTGAGAAAATTTTTGAGGTCTTTCATCCAAATCTCCTGATAGAACTAAGCTATCCTGAATTATGATGAAAGGTCTTTGCATTAATAAAAGGCAAAGTTAGGGGACAGAAATAGAAAATAGATGTAAATAGGCATTTTTAACTGTGACAGAAGGTTATAGTGGATGATAGGCTCAGAATTAATAGTCTGTGAGACATCAGGATTGTGACTTATAGTTCCATGAAAGAAATATACAGTGATATAAACTGTGAGGAAAGCAACAGAGAAAAAAAAATCCTTTCTTCATGCCTTTGTATCAATCTATGCAGTGCCCACATCTTTAACATTGTGTGCAATTGTGGTCCCCCATCTCAAAATAAGTATAAGAACTATGAAAAAGGCTTAGAAAAGAAACAAAACATTGATAGGACATCTGAAATGGTTTTCATCAAGGAAAAAGACAATTGTGTCAAGATACATTGTATGTGTATAAAATCATCAGTAGAAGAGCTCATTAAGATACCATGTGTCTACCTGTATCTATGTGGCATGAAATGAAGCTACCAGAATAAGGAATGTGAAAATGAATGGAGAAGCTTCTTTCTATTCCTGGAGCCCACCTGACATTTTTTAGATTATATTATGCACAGGTTGACTTTCACTGCAAACCAAGTCAAATACAAGGTGGAGAAGTGCTTGCAGCTCTGATGCACTTAACACATAGTTCTGTGTTTTGGTCAAGGTTCACACACTATCATCCTTCTTTAGTACCATTCTGAATAAAAAGGCACCAAGAGTAGTTAAAAAAATTCCTAACATTCAGTTACTTTAACATTAATATTAAAATCATCTTAGATTGCTGCTGCAGGGCTTATGATTTTATATAGCTGTATCCATGCATTTATGTATCCAATCATGCATATGTTGTGTTTTGTTCTTTCTTTTAGATGCGGCTTCTAAGCATGCTGCTGTAGGCTTTTTTGATTGTCTTAGAGCTGAAATGGAAGAATTTGATATATCAGTCAGCACTGTGAATCCAACTTTCATCTGTTCATACCATCGCCAAGCAGCGCCTGGCAACTGGGAGGCATCTATCTGGAAATGTAAGTGCTGATACATTAAGAGAAACAATAGTTGAGGTCCATATAGCAGTATGGAGGCTTTTTGCAGAGGAAAGAAACATAGGAAAAAGAATGGAAATGACAGAAAGGATCATAGAATCATTGAATCAACTAGGTTGGAAAAGACCTTTAAGACCATCAAGTCCAAACTTTATCTTAGCACTGCCAAGGCCATCACTAACCCATGTCACTAAGGGCCTCATCTACACAGTTTCTGAACTCTTCCAGGGGTGGTGACTCCACCACTGCCATGGGAAACCTGAACAGGTTAGGGAGTAAAAGAAAAGAGAGACTGGAGAGATGAGATGAGCCTAGTGAAAAGAGAAGGACATGGGAAGAGACAACTTTATGTGAGAAAATAAATACACCGGGGCATGAGGAGTAGAGATACAGCAGAGCATGAAAGGTCCCAAGGGAGCGTTCCACTCCACTCAAGTGGTTCTTTCTTTCAGGGACTGTGAGGATTTTACTTTAAAACTGTAAAAAGATCTTAGGGATATGCTGATGAGGGAAAGGGAAATGGTAAGGGATGAAAAGTGCATAGGTGTGTAGCTAATTTGACTGTTTCACTAGCTGTGTATCTTTTCACCACCATTCCCTCAAATGTGTCTGACTGTCTGTCTGTAGCTCTCACTCCTCTCTCTTTGATGTACAGTCTTTTTCAGAAAGGTGGCATACGGTGTGCACCCAGTGGAGGTGGCAGAGGAAGTCTTGCGCACTGTGAGCAGTAAGAAGCAGGAGGTACTTATGGCCAACCCCATCCCCAGAGCAGCAGTTTACATGCGCACCTTTTTTCCTGAGCTGTTTTTTGCCATTGTTGCCTCAGGGATTAGGGAAAAGCTGAAGACAGAAGAGGAAAATTGATTTTATTAATGTTTTTTCCTGCTTTTGTCCTAAAAATGTTTATGTTTCTGTCGGTGTTTATGGCAAAGAGTTTATGTCAATGATTTCTGCTTCTCACTATACGTAGAATAAAGCAGGAGGCTTTATTAAACATGAACCAGTTAATGTCTCACTTAGTGATTCAGTACCACTGGCACACATTCTTCTGTGGGACTTCTCTTATTCTGGATTTAGTGAATATGTCAAGATACCATATTTGCATTACAACAGTATGGGAAAAATTCTACTAGAAACTCTACATCTGTTACAAGAGAGTGATTCCCAATCTAAATTGGTAGATCAAATTTTGGGGACCTGCAGCAATTTAACAGAATAGTCTGCAAGTGAGAAGACTGATGGGAACTTACAGGAACAAAGGGATAGAGAAGAAGGGAGACGTGAGACATCGAGGAGTAAAAATCAGCAAAAAATGGGGTCAGAGCCTGGATCAGAGTGTTCCTCAGATGTGCTTTTTGGAAGTACTTTCAGGATATGCAAATGGTGAGCCCAAATAAGGGCTTGTCTAGTTCAATAACTCACCTGCAACAGGACCCTGGAGTACATGCTTCTTAAAAGGTGGATTATAAAAATGGGTCAATAACATGGAGACACTCTCTGTATTACACTGTCCCAGGTTCTGGTCATCTTCTACACAGTTTGAAACAGAATCTATCTCTGCATCTTGTTAAATGACCAATTTTTCTTTTTTCTTCTTTTTTTTTTTTTTTTTGAATTCCTATTTGAAGCATTCTATCCCTGAGGAAAGGTATTAATCATATATATATATAAAGACTTCCTTATATTTACTTTAAACCGGGTGTCAGATAATATTCTTTGGTACCTCCTATTTCTTTTACTGTGAGAGACAAAAACAATGGTATTCAATTCACTGACTCCCAGTCATCCAGGCCCGTCATACTTTTACATGCAGTAACCTGTTTTCCAAGTTGGAGAGACCTGGCATCTATTTAGTCTCTCTTGTTGAGAAGTCTGAATTATTCTTCCTGTTCTTTATATCTTTTCCTGGTATAGCTTTTTTTAATTGTTATTATTTTTCAGATGGACAGGCCACTGATGAATGCAGCATTTAAGAAAGATAAACAGTCTGGATTCACAGACAGGCATACAGATGCTTCCTGGGGTTTTTACTTCTTTTCTTCTTTTGCATGTCTTATGCAAATTCCTGATCCTGAGGTATTTTTCTGACTGCTACTGAGCATCGAGTTCCCTTGTCCACTCTGCTACATTTGATACGTAATCATCACGTCCAAACTAAGCATGGCCATTACTCATGTAAACTGTGTGAATTTCACATACTCCCAAAGTTTTCTCACTCCTAGTCATTCTAGGCTTCTCCTCCCTATCCCATTTTCCAAGTTCATGCTGAGGACTTACCCCTTTCTGTCTCATCCTGTGAACTGAACAAGAATATATATAAAGATAATACAAGGGGGCCTTGATTGTCAGTTTTAATCTAAGATCTTAAATTCTGTCTCCCAAACCTTACCCTGGCCTTTCTTCTGCCATAGGTACTCACAGGTATCATGACCAGCTACTTTTTTGCAGACACTATCAAAATGCCTTGTTTGCAGAATACCTACAAAAGAAATACCTACCCAGGAAGCATGCAGCCAAACTACATTTGTTACTACAATAAGCCCCATTGCTCATATAGATTTCAACACCAGCTGCAATTTTCTACCTCCTTCTATCAGCAAGAGTCACCAAACATGAAAGGAATTCTCAGTGCAAGAAAATACATGGTTGTCATCTCACAGGGACGCTAAACTTTTCTTGTGCCTCTAATTCAGTTGCTCTGGCTTCAAGAAACATGCATGCATCTACCTCTCTCAGGAAAGCAGTTAAATCTACTGAGAAGTAGCTGGTTCCTGCAGTACCTGCTGGAGTTCCATCTACTTTCTGTTGTAGCGCTGGGCTTTTATTGTTTGTATGACTATACCTCAACTGTGAAGTCAAACACCCACTTTGTCCAAAATTTACTTGCTCCTCAACAGAATTCTGCTCCCTCAAAAATGGGCTTTTGCTGTGGTCTCATTTATATTTGTGTCTGAACCTCTGCAACATCCAAGCCCTTCACAGCTCCACAGGAACAAAATATGTAATAACTGGGTAATTTCATCAGAAAAAGATCAGAGAATCACAGGGCGTCACAACTAAACATGAATGAATATTGTCTTGCTTTGTTGTAAAAAAACAAGTTGGTTGTGTGTTGAAATAAGCTGAATAATCCTTCTGCTCCATTTTGCACTTTCCAGATATCAGCAGAAATTCTTCAGTGATTTTGAATATTTCACTTTTAAAATGTGGAACAGTTCAAGAAACCACAGTGAAAAGTAGTGAGAGTAACAAAGGTAAAATCACACCTATGATCTGCCAAGAAATTTTTAAAGAACAGATGTATTTTAATATAGAAAGTAGAAGAAAGTTGTATCTAATCAGGTTTCAAATACCTAAAACGTACTGCCTAGAGGATAGAACTACACTGCTCTCCATTTCTGTTGTAGGAGGACAATGTGCTAATATTAATGCAGAGGAAATTTACAAGGAAAGAATTTTCTGCAAAGAATAGTTAAGCACGAAGGATAAATACCACAGAAATTTTGGAATGCCTGTCTTTGAAAGCTGTAAAGAAGAGATTAATGAAACATCTGTAAAAAAGCAATGCAGCTTTAGTTTATCCTGCCTAGAGAAAAAGTAGGATTAGATGACCTTTTAAATGGGTCACAATTTTCTATAATTCTGTGGGGTTTTTCTCATATTGAGAACAAGGTTTCTCCACTGGTATTTCTGAAGTAGTATTTTTTCCTCCAGGAAAATCTATTATTTAATCAGAAATTTTCTATTTCTTTTGTCTATCTCTGCCTCACTGTCTGAATACCTGGGTATAGATGTTGCATATAAAAAATACTATGATAATAAGAATATTATGAGGTTAGTTCATTAAGAGATCTTTTCTGTTAGCCTCACTCATCCATATTTTAAGCTATGTAGATTCTTTATTAATGCTAACTTTCATAAACAAGGATGAAACCAGGCCTGCAGATTTAGTTGTAGAAATCATAGGAGCAAGATACTCAACTACAGCTCTTTTAATTTTTCTAAACTTCTCACACATCTGAAAGTCACATAGAATCATAGAATGGTTTGGATGGGGAGGCACCTTAAAGCTCATCCAGTTCCAACTCCCCTGCCACAGGCTGGGACACCTTCCACTAGACCAGGTTGCTCCAAGCCCCATCCAACCTGGCCTTGAACACTGCCAGGGATGGGGCACCCACAAAATGAGAAACTTCTCTGAGCTGGTCTGAAGTATGTGTATGGTGGCACACAATTTTCTGTTAATGTGTGCTGCAGCTCCACTCTTAAATTTAAGGAATTTTGTGGTGAAATCAACTGTATCTTGGTGCTGGCTAAGATAATTTACATTGCTGGACACAAAAGCCCTTGAAGTAAAGAAGAATTTTAAAAATGCTAAGACAGGAAAGTCTTAGAACTGTGGAGACTCTTGTCTAATTTCAGACATCTGTCCTAGATATAGCCTACCCAGAGCTAACCTTCCAGTGCCCTTCTTAAGCAGTGGAAAGAAAGAAGTGATTTATCAGACATACAGCTTAGGATAGCATGAATTGGGATGGGAACTTTACAGTCTTTTCAATAAAGAATTAGGGTGGAAACTCCTCTGAAATTCTAACAAGCTCACATACTTTATATTAGTATTAGAGACTGATTACAAATCAGAGCATTGGAGAACCTATGTCACTGTCTTTTTGGAACTGAGACACCTTTTCCAATACTAAGACATCCTTGAAACACCCATGGAAATACAATTTATTTATTAAAAAAAAACCCCTAATGCTACACAAGTATACATTTTTATTAATTAATACTGTTTTATTCTGATCTGACATTATGATTTACAGGATGCCTTGAGGTACAGTTCAAATTTACAAAACTGAAATAGTGGCCAAGTGGCACAAGCCTTTTATTGGAAGTGCAGGGTCCTCTGTACTGTTGTGAAACGAGTTCACATACACATTGCAAGCTTTCTCTGGAGATGTATGATCAGGAAACTTGTATTTAATCTTTAAACTCCTTCCCAGTGTTTTTCTTTTGTGCTTGAATTCCAAAATAGTTTTTGTGTATTTGTTAATAGTGGTGACAGCTGCAGCCATACAGCAAGCGAAGGAAGCCCATGCGAGGCTATAAACAAAAAGGTTTATCAGAAATTAGCAGAATGTTTTCATATCCATGTCCTTCAATTTTATTTGTGAAAATAATGCATACATGTGGTTGTATTCAGGTGTATTAGGGAAAAAGGAGCATGGTAGGGGAGGAAGAAAGACCATTTACATACCTAAACCTATATTTTAACATCTACATGTTTACATTTAACATTCCTGTTTAATAAAACCCTACCTCCAATTTCTCTGTTTACTCTACTCAGGGTTTAATATCAGAAAAAGGAACTATTAAAAAAAAAAGGATGTATAAAAAAATTAAAAGGTGTAGTTACTGAGACTATGAATCTCACAGGTGATGTATCACTGAGATGTATGCGTGCCAGTTATCCAAAAGGGTTAAAAAGAAGAGAGAAGGCACAATGAAGTAGCTCAGTAAAGCAGGCTTAAAGCACTGAATTGCGTTCCTGAGAAAACATAGGTTGTGACTAAGCAGAAAGAAAAGGACATCAACTCTGAAATGTTCGAAGTAAAACCATAAGAAGACAATAAAAAATGAAGTTGAGGTATAATTTGCTAAAAATGTGTGAACTCAGACTACTGAGTGAGCAAGGAGTGCTGGAGCTGTAAAAGCGACATGTAATAATAAGGCCGCAATGGAATGTATTAGAGTTCATTGTGGAGGAATTTGCTCATTGGAGCCTTTCTTAACATGGTAAGGTCATGATTACCTAATGAAACATGTGCTTTGGTGGAGAGATCAGTTTAAGACACTCCTGTTTATCTCTCTTCTCCCTCAGAGCTGTTTGTTTCCACATCCCTGCTGTAGTTCAACAAACACATTTAGGTTTTTAAATATATATTTTTAACATTATTTTTATCCAGGATTGTTTTCCAAGGTGATCAGACAACCAGATGTATATAAAGAATTTGAGGGTGGTGGAACACGGCATGTGAAGGCCACCTAGAAGTAGGAGGACAAAGAGCAGTTTAAGCAATCTTTGCTCCTAAAGGCAGTCAGACTACACCCTGACTAAATCTTAAACATGAGGAGCCACAGAAGAGCTCTTATAACAAGCTGCAAAACTACGGGCAAATCACCAGACGCTGGTAGATTTCCCTCCTCATGTGAATGGAGCAAGAATGGGACAGCATGCCTACCTATGGTGGTATGTAACCTATGGTTTAAGCCAACCATGGTAGAGAAGAATTAAAAATTCAGCCCCTGGGATGAGATAAAAGCAGTAGGTCTGCAGTAGTCCTGACCCATGTAGTAGGCATTTTTGCCTAAATAACTGAAGTACAGTAACATTAGTAGACAAACTATGAAGGTGCTTTTCCTAATCCACCTGTTGAAGCCCTTTGAAGGACTCAGTGACATAAGGGTAAGGAACTGATTTCAAGAAAGCTTCTATAAAGGCCTCTTAGCAAATACTGAAAGAAATTAATCTCTTATGAGCAGATTCTCTTGTAGATCAATACTGTGTTACAAGAGAAAAAACGAAGGACAGAAATAAATGGCTTCCTTTGACAATACAGGAAGCACATCAGTGTGGTTCTTCAAAGTTTTTTGCCTGAAATTTTGGCTTTCCATAAAGAATTTGGAAAAAATGGGGAGTTCCCCATCTGACTACAGAGAACAGACGAAGGAAGTGAGCAAAAACTTGTCACTGAGAGAGCCATGAAATAAAGGGCACTATGGCTGACATGAAAATTCAGCTTCAGAAAGAGAGCATTCAATCTGAATTCTGCCCACAGACAAATAACAAAAATGGAAATCAAACAGGTCAACTCAACAAGGAAGCAAACTATAGTAACCAGTCATTCATCTGCATAAGAGAAATGCCAACAGAAGCTCAGCTGGATTATGGGTTTTCCTTTTACTGCATGGAGTATCCCATATGAAGTGTGTTACACCATTTGTCATGATCTGCCCAATCTCCAGCTTGGAAGCACTGACCAAGCGCATCCTTCATCCCTCTGAAAGCACTAGAGAAACATTTCTACACACAGGTAACAATAGCTTCAAACAAACTGCTGCTGCGTGGGAAACAGGCTCCTGGAAATGCACAGAGCAATGCACTGTGACCTTCAAATGAGATCTGAGTTATTAGGAAGTTAAAAAGTAACAGTACAAAAGACAAAAGAAACCCCTATTTCATTGCAAAAATCCCTAGCAAATCCGCATCCTCAAGACTGCGTGCAGCTGTAAGCTCCTGTTCAATAATGGTACAATAAAAGTAGAAAGAGCAATAGGAATGAGTGACAATGAGCTGTGATCTCAGCTGTCAGAGAAGTATGAAGGAGACAATCAATCTGAGATCTGTTCTACTGACCCAAAATATTGGTCCTGTTTGACTTTTGTCAATTGGTCCTATTCTTCTTCTGAGTCACACTTGGAGAAATAGCAGCAGTTTCCAGCACCTGAACATTCAAATGCTTTCTATTGATCAGATATGATGGATTTTCAAAGACACATCTCTATAGCAAAAATTCTCTAAACAGCCCTCTTCCTTAATAAATTCACCAGATCTCCTCAGAGGATGTGTTGCAATTATTTACAGGGCCAAAATAACATGGTTTTACCTAGGCCTGTTTTAAAAAAATTGAACCATTTTTTCTCAAATGGTCCAGATACAACAACCTGAAGCATATATCTGATAAGGAAAATCTCAGCCTAAATGGTTAAAGCTTGGAAGAGTTTTAAGCAACTTAATGCAAGACAGTTGTCCTGGGAGATGAGGGTACTGGATCCAGTGTGCATGGAGAAGGACCTCTGCTTTGTGCAGAGCAGTTGGAGGTCCCCATACTATCTAAAGGATGGCAAACACAAAATTCACAATCTTATACATCCTATGTAACAATTTAAGACAACTGAATGTGGAGAAAACCACCTGCTTATTAACTGCCTCCCCGAGAGTGAAATAAGGTAGACCCATTCTTTATAAATTAGGTAGGCATTCCTTGGACATAAAGTGAAGTGACTGAAATGTAATGGAAGAACCAAATATAAATCAATAGGTACCAATAGGACCAGCCATAATCCCATGTGTGAGGTCTCCAGTCTTCAGGACCAAGATTTACAGTCATTTGAAATACAGTTGTGTACATCATGTGAGCAACCATGCCAAGAAGACCTACAAAATATAATACCATAAGAACATTAGAAAATGTAAATTGAGGACATTCTTCTTTGTCAACTTTTTGCACTTGTCCTTTGAGCTCCTGAAGAATATTTTATGAAGTGTCTAAACTCTATAAATCACTCAAAAATACTGGACATAATTTAAGTGTATTTATGTGCCATGTATTTGCCAATACAATCACTAATACAGTCCCTTGACACACTGTACGCTAGAGGAATCAAGGGGAGCAAGGGGACATGCAGCCCATAGATTTTAAAAGGTAATAAGTTGATTTGCTCTCATCCATTGACAACTTGTTAGTAATTCAACACTGAGCAGAGATAAGCCATTACAACCAAGTATGAAGTAATATGCTAAAAATGGAAGACAGTTTTCATGATGACTCTCTACTGACACTCACCCAATTCCATTTTATTCCCTCATAAAAGCACTATTTTAATTTGGCTATTGCTAGTTTAATATTTAGCATGTTGCAAATAAAAAAATCCCAACAAATTATTTGGAAGAGTATGCTATTTTTTTATCTTTGACAACCAACCTGACAATGAAATTAAGACTTATGAAAAGAAAATAATGAAGTTAAAAATAATAAAAGCTATAAAAATAACATATAAAAATAATAATAGCAAGAAACAGTTAATTGAAAACAGTATTTTCCATAACATTTTGCAGCCTCTTGTACTGTATGTGTCTCCATAGGTATTGTAAGAGTTTTGAAACTTGGACACTGTTATTAATTTTCAGGTGGGAGTCTGTCAATGTTAGATTTCCTAGATGTAATAAATTGAGATCTTTAACTGTACCTGCTAATACGGTGACTACTGCAGAGAAGGCGTTGATCTTTAGCCCATCAATGACAGTGCTGTAGTAGCACATTTCTACTGACATAAGAATGACTCCAGTCAGAAGCAAAATGATGTACAGAAGCTCTGTGACAATAGACAGCCATAAAACTCCTGGAAAACCCAATAAATAGCAATGATATTCTATGCAGTTATTTAGTGTTTCCACCATTTCTTTCTTCTTCATTTATATTGTTTAAAAATGTTAAACAAAAGCTCAAATCCTGTGAGGATGCTATTATAACATTTATAGGAAAACTTGGAGGTCAGTGGCCACCCTAAATTTTAGTTCCCTCTACTGATTTGGACATTTAGTGGAAGAGCACTTACAAGCTCCTGTTATACGCTTGAGAAGCTTAAAGTACAAGGTGGAGCAGCATGGTTTCACACTCAGTAGCTACCTTAACATTACCATGAACCAAAGTTAATATAAAAAGAACTACTATCCAATTACCTACTTATTGTCACAGCTACTGAGTCCAGAGAGAAGTGTACCAAACCAGAAGTCCATGCTACCCAGGTAACAGACTGCAAAGCCGTGCACACAGCCATATGGCTTGAGGGTCTAGTCATTAACTAAAATCTTCCCATAGGCTTAATTTTCCACCAAACAGGATCTTGAAGTATGAGGAAAGAGGAGACAAGACCTTACAAATCTTGACTTCCAGTACTGATATTCAAAGTAATTTTAAAAAACATTCCTATTCAAATTAAGTGTTTTCAAAAGACATAGATTAATATTTTAAGCCATGTGGACTTAATTTTGAAGTTGACAAATTAAATAAAGGACGAAAAACTGTGTGTCATTAAAGCAAGCATTTTTTGTATCAAAATACAGAATATTGGTATTGGTTAATGTGATCAGGAAAGTTTTATTTACACAAATTATGCATATCTACCTCGATTAGAAGCTGGAGTCAGACTGATGAAGCTTCTACATTTCTCACCTAAAAAAAAAGAGTTATTTTAAAATAAAATTCACAATGATTTTATATTCTGTAATAACCTAAAGAAATAGATTCATAAGAAGCAGAAAATGCAAAACTTGACATAAAAGCACAAACTGAGATGATCAGGAGCAACTATTTCTGATGTATGTTTGTACACACAGAGTCCCTCATACACCAACCTGCTCCTGAAACTTAGCTACATAATCCTTCCAGAACTTTTTTTCAAGGCAGGAACAGAGTCTGGGAAATATAGAAAAAGGCCATGAAATTATTTCCAAAAGGTTGTAGCTGTAAAATCAAGAATGGCAAAACCAACAGTTCATTTGAAGACTTCTCCCTACAGTGACAAAGCTGCTGCTCACACAAATTTCTTCTAAGCTTGATTACAATTTATTTCCGTAAGCTTTGATTTTCAAACTCATGTGACCTCCTGACCCTCCCCCCAGATGCTGTGAACAAAGCTCTTGGAATTAATTCTGCTTTGCTCTGAAAATACAAGGTAGTTTTTTTTCAGCCACTAAGTTGGAAAATAAGAACTGCAGTAGTGCATGCATAAATGAAAAAATCTGTATCCACAGCAATCACCACCTGAAAGATGTCTTTTGGACATGTATCTTGCTCTGATTTTTCACATTTACCCCCTTAAAACTGCACAGCTTACAAGACTTTGTGGTAGAACCGGACTTTAAGGACAGGTGATGTGAAAATATTTGCATTTTAAATCACATGTGAAAGCTGATTTGATTTCTCTGAATGATCTACTTGTCATTTGTAAACTTGTCAGAATATAAGGGGAAAAACTTAGTGCTGATTTACAATAAATGCCGTATTTCTTGAAGGAGCTAAGCAATTCTTTTATACAAAGATCGACAAATAACTAGAAGCTTTCTTTAACAGCAAGCTCATTTCATTCTACTGACATTTACACACGCAAAGTGAAACTCAAATGCCACCACTCATGATTAGTAAGTCTCCAGATTATGTTTTAGCAGGGTGAAAATAATCTTGTTTAGTTTTATGAAAGGTAGGAAACAACTATGCTGACTAAAGAAATAACTTAGATCTCACAGATTTAATTGCTCAAATAATTTTTAAAATAACAAATCACATTGTGCTTTCTTATGTTGCCATAGGGAATCCTCAGCAATTGTTCAAGGCAAATATGTTTGGTTTTGTCTAAGTGGCTAAAAACATCAGGAAAATAAACCACTTTCCTGGTAAAGTAACTTAATAATACTAATACTAACACTAACACTAATACTTATACTAAAAAAATAATCTGTACTTCAAACTGTCACCTTAAAGTTTTTGCAGGATTTATTGGGAATTTTTTAGGAATTTACTAGATAGTATCCTTTAAGATCCTCCTTCCCAGGGAAAAGCAATGTTTAAAAGATACTTTTTCCTTTAGAATACATACATTGCATTGCAGCAGAGGAAGGTGACACCAAACAAGTAGGAAGAAATTAGATTACTTTTTAAAGTAAACTTACAGGGGTTTACTCACCTTCTTCATTTATAATTTCTTCACAGGAATACCAAATTCCAGCATGAAACTTTCGATCAATGAACTTGTCATCTCCTGTCTCCCAAATATATTGCACAACGTTGCTATTGTTGGCATCAGGGCTATTAAAGCGGATGCAGTGATCCCCTTTGCTCTTTCCTGTACAGAAAGGTTTGGCAACTTTTCTTGTCCCTTCACACCAGTAACTACTACTGAATGCTGTGATGGAGAAGATTAAAGAGAGAAAACTGAGAAAAAATGCTGCTGGGGCTCTCCACCGTCTGTCTGCAGCTGGGACTGAAACTGGCATCCCCCAGGACTGCACTATCAATTACTCTAGGTAGAACCTTTTACAAAGCTATGTATGTATCTGCCTGGTGAAGCATTGCCTGTATTTACCATCCCGATCTTCATTCCTCTCAGAGAACTATTCCAGCTTAGCTGTTAAGACAGAAAGCAGAGATAAGGGCATGGCCAGAAATCATGTGGCAGGAGAGATTAAGGATATAAGGCAAAGCTGTTTGGCTGTAATGTCTTGTGAAAGACATATGAGGAGGCAAGACAATAAATTATAGTTTGCCCCATGAACTGCAGGAATAAAGATACACAGAAGCATTGAGTGTACACAAGTATGAGATCAGAGAAGCTTTATTTATACAAACAAAATATGCATATTTACCTTGATCCATTTCTCAGCTAAGAAATAAAATCCTGCAGATCCAAATGCTCCTGTTACACTGAATGCTGATTTAATCGAATACACGTGAATCTTACTATAAGGAAAGTCTTGAGATAAAACAGTTGCTAAGTTAGAGAATTTGACAGCATTATAGCACTTCCCAAGAAGTGATGGTGACTGCATCTGTTCAAAGTTCCACCAGTGACAAATGAAAGTCATAAATTGCATGACTTCCCTATTGATGGGCTTCTAGGCACTGTCCAGTCTGCCTCCATGAACATGTAATAGAACTTTCGACCAACTTAAGTTAAACAGTAGAGAAAAAGCTGAATTATGCTTATTTTGTCTGCTCAACTGTTCTCTGAAATAGCTTTTTTTTTTCCCTTCATCTAAGAAATATTTCTCACTTTGACATGTTATTTATGTTGATTTTCCTGCCTGTTTGGCAATGCAAGTAAATGAATCAAAGAAGCAGAAAGACCAGGAGTGTTAGTAAATGACTGCTTCATTTAACAACTGTAAGGTCAAAACTCGTGCCCAAGGGAGAGGGATACCACAGGACAGACACTAAAATCACATATGTATCTTTCATGAAAATCATTCTGATTTTTAAGACAACTCTCTACCATAAGATGTCAGGGTTGGAGAAGCTTGTGGCTAGACAAGTCCCAGCATGAAACTCAAAGAAACAGGATAAATGCCTGCTTTAGAGTTACGAAGACCTCAGCTTGAAGACCTGGCCCGCAACAGAGTGAAACCCAAGCAGGTATCTGGACTAAAAAGGCAGAGCAAGTCTCACAACCCAAAAAGCAGACTATAGGTTGAGACAGTAGTTATTTTTCCCACAGCTTTGCATTTTCACAAGGATCTAGCACTTGGGAACTCCACTTGAAGCCCCTGCGAATTGGATAGCATTACAAACTGCCCAGTACATCTGAGAACAGGATGGGTGGGAAGGAAGGAGGGAGGGAGTGAAGTCCTTCTAAGGATTAAGTACCTATGTATGTTTCTGTTCCCAGGAGTAATCACATAGGGCTATAGTCATAGCAATACACAGGTGAGGAGTTACTTAGAGGGGCTTTGAAGTGCCCTCTCTGATCCCCAGAGTTGCCCTTTGGTGTGCCAGGGTGGGATATGTATACTGACACATCTAGCCAGGAGGCACAGTAGCACAGGGTGGCCAGTGCCCTTACTGCCAGGGTTCTAGACTGGGCTGGATGCATTTCCACCCTGAAATCCTGGTCCCCGGAGCACTTCCATACCCATGTCCCAGTACTCCTTTTTATTACATCCAGACTTTATGTAAATATGAGACATGGGTATATATTATGACCCTCCACCTCCTGGATTCCTCCAGAAGAAGAAAGTTTGGGCATGTGTGTAGAGACTCAGGTCACACTGCTGGTGGAGTGTGCTTCAGGGTGTATCTGCCACACAGTTTGGGTTTAGCCTATATTTGGTATTCAAAACTGGACTACTGGTGACCTCCACAAGTCCTAGTGTTGTACCTCTGCCTGATCTCCATCTTAGCTGCTCTGGATGCCTGTGAGTTCTGGGAAGGGCATGCAGAGCTGCAAGTTTCACTTCTTTCGAAAATGGAGGAGGCAACACCTTGAGTCTCCAGATTGACGATTTGAATTAGTACAACCATAAGCTTGATTCTAAAACTATTATATTATAAATGGTTTGATTCCCTGAGCCTGCAGAATACATAGTGTTTTCAGGCTTTTCTCTGCCACTAGAAAGTTTGTAAACTATTTTTAGAAAATTAAAGCTAAATTTCATGGGCAGTTTCTCCAACCTCACACCTGAAGCTGTGAAAAAAACACTGAATGTCACAAGAACTGTAGTAATACCTTAACCACTGGTAACATCATTTTTTGTACATTTAGATCCTCCCTGATCCTGCACTGATAGTGCATATTTCACAAAATAATGCTCAGAAAGGATAAACCCAGCTATTACTGAGCTGATTCCTGCAAAGCAAGCTTCCTACACAAAGTTGTGTTTCTAGGGCATCTTTCAATGATTTCATGAGGTGTGTATAAACATATATATGTATTTATGGAGCTGGACTGCATTCTTGCAAAACCCCTGGCAAAATTCCCATGGAGTTTCAGGGGAACAGGAACAGCCCTTTAATGTTTTAATAGTTTTCTGACTCCTTATTGGCTAACGGACAAGCTACAGTAAGCAGACTTTCTGTGAGGTTTAGAGTAAATTTTCTCTGCCTTTAATCAGAAAAAGCAAAAGGCAGTTGGAGCCGAGCAAGCCTTAGACACTGTAGTAACTTCCTCTCTTATTTGTGAGAAGATTCATGAAACAGTTACACTCATAATAGAAGATATTTCAACTTTTTTTTCATGGGACAGGGTGATAGAATTGATCTACAGTAGAGTGAAATAGCAGCATATTGGGGACAAATTTATTAGAATGGGTATGGTGACACTTTTTGGTCTCTGTTCCTGCATGGGACTCTGGTCCAGACTATCTCCTGCACCTGCCAGTTCTGTCATGATATTGTTTCTAGTGAAACAGGTAAGCTAATTCACTGATTAATAATGGACTGTATAAAAGTGGATTCCTATCACATAACATTTTAACCTTCATAAACAGCAAGTTTGTTTCTAAAGTAGTTCTGGCAGCAATTTATGTGTATTAAAAATTAATCATGAGAAGTGTTGATTGAGAAGTGGTAGAGTTTTGTATTAGAACTCACTCGAGGTAATTTATTAGAATTTTCTTCTATTAATGCTCATTCATACAGGGAATAAATTGTGTTTACATCTATTTATACAGCTCTTTTCTTACCACTATGGATCAGTACTGAATTATATTTATTTTTCCATTTTACTACCAAATATTAATACTCATGTGAATCATGTTTATTTTCTATTGATTTTCCTCTGTTCTGAAAACAACTTTGCTTTGTTTCCATTCTTATCTTTTAGCCTTTAACTTGTACAAAGCGTGAACACTGAATCTCACATTTGTGAAATCTGGTGTTACTGGTTTCATTCTGCACCTCAGCTTCTTATAGAAGGCCAGGAAATCTGTATGCAGTTTCTATTTTTATTTCTTGTAGAGATCTACTATACTATTAATTTCTCTTTTTTTCTAAATCTATTAAAAAAATCTGAAAGCTTACTTCTTTGTCTATAATGTCTTATAATTCGGAAGAGTTTCAGTGATATTTAATGACAAAATACCTTTATGTAATTCAAGGGAATTTTCATGTATGCTTTTAATCATTATTATTTATTAATATCAGCCCTGGTATTCGATAAATTTAAAAAATAATTACCAAGGTGTATTACATTTCAATTCATCTGAATAAAATTCATACATAGATTTAGGGTATTTCTACTCACTTCTCCTTCCTTTAGCTGGGTTACTAAGGAAATGGTTTTGCATGTGTACATGCTGTAGAAACTATAATTGTGTTCCTATTTTTTTATGAGGAAAAAGTAACAGGAGACATCTTCTGGGTGCTTTTAACAGAAAATATTCCTAATGCTTTTGTATAATTCAGATTTGGAGCTTCTCTTACATTAACGAATATAGAACTGAAACAACTCTCTGATTTGCGAGACACCTTAAATTTGTAGGACGTCTCTACCAAAGCACTGGTTCCATCAATGCTAACAGAAAATCTCCCAATTACTTCTGTGAAGTCAAAACTTCACAAGACTATAAATCACAGTGAATTACTTTGTCATAGGGATTCCTGTAACTTGTTCATTCTATTGCTTTCTATTGTATTTAATGAGACAGAAAAATTTAAGGAAACACTATAAATCAACATATCCAGATTTTCCAACAAAAACCTACATAGATGTGAAAAGTATCTATCAGAATAAACCAGGATCATGGCTGAAATAATATGTAAATAATTAAGTTCTTATTTCTAGTTTATACCTAAGTAGATTCATTTTTTCCTGTCCATAATAGCATAGTCTGAATAAACAGAAACAATTCATTTTACTGTTAACTTAGTATAAGAAATTAAAAGGTTAAAATCCTAATTACAGTTCAGTCAGTCATGAAAAAAATAAATTTAAACCAATCTGTTTGCAGCCTTGGAGGTCTGTTGTTATAATCCATTTCCTACTTGTGAGCTTCAGTCTATGTTTTCTGCTGCTTCTAACATAAACAGTGGTGTCATCTTGGTGCAGTCTGTGGGCTCTGAGCAGACCAAATGAATTGAAAGACCCTTCCAGAGAAGTTGGATTACATTTCAGTATGGGTGAACTCTGGTGTGAGTAGTGTACTAGGTGGTTCATCTGCTACCAGTGAAACTTCAGATAGCTTGAAGAAATGTCCAGGTGAGGGCAAAAGGTCACAGACTTTCTGAGGTTCTGCCTTGGACACTGGAGTTTGATTTCTTCCGAATCAGAAGTCCTGTTTAAATGCTAATGGATGAATGTCAACTGAAACATAAAACTGAGATGAAAAGCCATTCTGAGCTGCATGTTGCCACTGCTTAAGAACATGGTAAATTTATCTGAAAGCTTGTATTTCTACTGCTAAGCATGCGTTATGTCTAAATTTTTATAGTGCTGAGTAGCCCAAAACTTAGATCACAATAAAACCTCACTGGGATATGTAATCACAGACTCATCTCAGATGCA